TGGTTGGGGGGGGGGGGGGGGATGGCCTCCCCGACAGGGGTGTCTCTCCGACGAAGGGGGTTGGGGGCTGCGTTTCCACTGTTGCGAAATCTCTACCATTTCATCTAAGTGTGAGGCTAAGTAGCCTTGGAGTTTTCTATAAACGACGCGCTTTGCTTAACGTATTGAGTACGGTAATATGCAATGGATTATATTGATACTACATCAAATGATAATATCTTTGGAATGGGGAAACACTTCCATTGGTAATAGTTAAGGATGGTAATAAATATTTGAGAAAAACGTATGCCCCCATCAGGATTCGAACCTAAAGACGTTCGGATACCGTTCGAATTTACTATTATTTCATTATTGATCTTATTTTTAAACATTTATTCCCATTTTATAACAGAGAAATGAACGTGTTTGGAATAAGATTTGCACCACTTTCGATTCCTTTCCATCGACGCATTGAAACATTCGCTGTTGCACAATTTTGTATCCTATTTGTGGTTGGTGGCATTATCTTTATCAGTTTAACAATTTACCTGTTTACCACCTCCTACTACTGGTTTCCTCTACTATATTGTGTTTGGTTATATTTCGACTGGAATACACCAAGCCGAGGGGGTAGAAGGGGGAACTGGATGATCCACGGCTCTCTGTGGCGTCACATGAGTAACTACTTTCCAGCTAGACTGCACAAAACTGTGGATCTTGACCCGAATCACAACTACCTGCTTGGCTTCCATCCACACGGCGTGATGGCTGTTGGAGCATTCATGAGCTTCGCCACTGAAGCAAATGGCTTCAGTTTAAAGTTTCCAGGGATCAGACCAACTGTGTTGACACTCGCAGGGCAATTCGGAATTCCATTCTGGAGGGATTATCTAATGTCAGCAGGTAAGTATAGTATCTATACAGCAACACTTCTCTATTCCAGTCGTCGTAAATTTTTACTTGTTGAAATGATTCGTCGTCCCATTATACACAGACTAATTAGTAGCTCATAATGTTGAAGTTTCCAATGGCGTAGTAGGCTAAAATGCCCTTGAGTTTACCCTTCCACCACATAAACATATGGAACTTCTTCAAGCGCTTAAAAACTGAAATATGATTTAAAAACAAGAAGTGGCGTAACTACCACAGTTTCGGCAGTTCATTAAACCTGAGCCCCCGATATCAAGAGGCCCCGATCTTTATAGGTCCCGTACCCTTATAAAAATCTAATAAAGCAATGCATAGAAACAATTGATAATATTTATCTTTATATTTAATACTAAATATTATAACTTAAAATTTTTAATAACTTCAAAATAATAATTAATCATGCCTTGACCCCTATGCCTAGTTATTAAAATCGTCACGCGAACGCGCGAAGCCGATATCATGAAACTTCCCTTCTTTTTCCGACTACTTCAAAGCTGATTTTTGCCGGGTCTTTTTGGTCCCTGTACCCTACCAGGGGCCCTTTGTGGCTCATTAATTCCAGTTTGGACTCACTTCACTTTAGTCTGCATTAGTCATAGTGTACTTATCTGTCGTGAAGCTCACGCTTTAGGCCAAATCTCAAGCTCTTTTTGTGACATCTCATACTTTTTCCAATAATTCACAATAAAAATTTAAGTTTCATGTGTAAAAGTATGCTTGCACTAAAGACAATTAGTGTCAGTTATTATTTAATTATTACAGCTTATGATGTCGGCCTATTATACACAAGTGGTGGCAGAAGTTTGGGTTTTTCTTTTTTTTTCGAAGTCTGAGGGTGCCATTTCCAGACATGTAAAGGTACTCTAATTACAAAAAAAAGGGAAAAAAATCCGCAGCTTGCCCTAACCATGGTGGGGCTATCAACATTATTACTATCTTCATTATTGTCGTGTCATCATCATCTCGTCGTCTTAAAAAAAATTCCAACTGTTTAAAGTTTTCTAAGAAAAACAAAAAAAACCCCAAAAATGAGTAGGAAAACTGTAAAATCAACCTCATTAAAACAAAACGCACCCCCAACACTCCCTCCCCCGTTAACAGTGTCACACGAAAAGCTAGATAGACCCTGAATTTTAGTGCTCTATTATCTATACATGTCGTCTATCTACAAATAATTGGCTAGCTATATAATTAAAACTGCTTATAAAGTATTTGTGAATTTTCTTTCCTTTAGTTAATCCAGTGTCAATTCGTTATAAGTAAATGTTGTATAAGTAAATGTTGTCAAGTCTGTAAGTAAAAACAACATTTACTTATAAAAAAAATGACACTAAATAAAGGAAAGAAAATTCAGAAATAATTTACTGAATCCAGAATGAATTTATTTCCTATGCTTATAAAGTAACTTAATACAATTCAATTGATACTGTAGTACGTCTCCATAGAGCGAGAAAGTTATCATTGTCTCCAGCCAAATTTATTCGACAAGATAAGGTTTAACTAAAATCGTACCAAACTCTCTTTAATCTAAATTCAAAAGGTAATAGATTAAGATTTACTGTAGTTTATTTTCTGTAGATTTTAATGAATTGTAAGGTCCCTCGGGAGAGCAGTGTTTTTTACACTTAGAGGGCTATCCAACTACCAGAAAATGGAAATAAACAAACATGACAGAGATGGTGCCAGTTTTTAAGCACCAAAACGTTAAATATATGGCCTGTTTAGGATTCTGTCTCTGTAGTAAATGATCATAATTAGACGTCATACAGTGAAATTATTGAACTTCATTTTGTAGCCCTAGTTTTAGGGATATCCTTATAATTATGATACTGCTTAAAAAAGGACGATGGATGCGTCCCAAACTACTACACATTTTCCAGCAAACCAAATTTTATTAAGTTTCCAAACTTTGTAGTTAAGTATGTCAAAAAATGACGTTAATACATCGTTGCAGCAACGTTTTGCAATGATATTTAGTTGCGAAATTACGTTATAAATACGTATCTATGGTTAAAAAAAAAACAAACTTTTTGTACCTCAAACTGTAACTTATCATAACGTAAATTGTTAGGTGTGTTCAACTTTCCAGTTGTCTTATACCAAAGAAATAACAAATGTTCATATTTTGTATTGCAGCAGTTTGTAGCGTCAGCCGTGAAAGTGTGGACTACGTTTTAGGGGAGTGTGGTGATAAAGGGAATGCTGTTATAATTGTCGTTGGCGGCGCCCTTGAGTCCCTACAAGCACACCCAAACGCTCACACTCTTGTTTTGCGAAAACGTAAAGGATTTGTTAAGAAAGCTATTTATCACGGGTATGCTTAATTTAATATCGTATAATTTAATATAACTTATTACATTATTGTCCCGTATGTTAGTGATGGTGTTGTTGCTACTGGCTCACCTGAAAATTTACTTATTTCTAAAGCAGTATCCATCGAATGACAATATCAGTCAATGTCTTATTAAAGTTGGCTTATTTGTACCAGTGCTAGGATGCAATACTCACAATAAACAACGTCCAGTATTCATTTCTTTGGACGACAGAATATAAACCAATATAGGATTAAAAGAAAGATTAAGAAGCAGAAAATAAAAATTAAATTTTGCAACTACTCAACTGGACCACATTGAAACAATAAAAAATAACATAAAAATACTTCCGTGTTCCATACCTATCTTAAATTGGCTTTCTATCAATTAATTCCACGATCCTAAACACCTGCCATTTAAACATAAAAAATAAATGCATGCAAAAAAGTATTAAATTCATGAAATAAAATCTTATTATGTATGAAAAATACACCCTAGATCTATTCAACGTTCAGTAAATTTGACATTCTGAATTGAATAGTTTTGTTAAAAGTTGAAAAAAAAAATCGTACTCTAAAGCTTTTGCAAAGTAGACCAATTTATTTTAATTTTTCATGACCAAAAACTTTTTTTTTACATTCTGAATTAATACAATATTAAAGAAGTATAAAAATCAAACATCTGCTAGTTTCACAACTCAATATGAATTTTATTAGCCGCTTTCTACCAAATTCTCTTTTTTAAAATCCTAAATATAGTAATACCTAATGTAATACCTTATCAAATATAGTGAAACCTCATCAAATATAGTGAAACCTTTTCAAAAAAAGGTATTAAGTTTTAAAACCACTCAATCAATCTATTATAATTGGTTTTTTTTTTTATTTAAAAGGTTTATTGAATCTTCTCGTAAGACTCAAATTTAAATAATTAAGTTTTTATTAATTTACTGATCTTTTATAACATAAACTTTACATTGTCTATCCAATTATAGGGTATACGATAAATGGTTATTTTACATAGGCCTATACGTTTACTGAAAACCAACTTAATTAGGATAATTATAACAAAAAGTCTGCTATTTCTACAAATATACAGAATTCAATCATATAGGTCAATAATTTCAGCTAATAATGAACAACATCGGCTTCTTATGACTCATGTTTGATTAATTTTACTTTCCCCTAAAAAGGGCTCATCTCGTTCCAGTGTATTCATTTGGTGAAACGGACATCTATGATCAACTTCCCAATCCAGAGGGTTCAAAATTAAGGAAGTTCCAGATCATGATGACAAAAATTATGGGATTTGCACCCCCTATATTTCATGGCCGAGGTATATTTAACTACACACTTGGGATTGTGCCATACAGGAAGCCGATTAACACGATCGGTAAGTCGATAATCAAAAGCTACGGTATGTGATGTGCAATCGGGTGTATACTACACGCGCAGCTTCATCACCTTAAAGCTGGCTTTCCACTAGACGAATTTATTCGCGCGAATCAAAGCGTCGGTTCGCTTCCTGAGCTCTGATTGGTTGCGCAATTTTTTTTCGCTTCGCAAAAACTTCGATAGTGATGTGAATGCGCATGCGCATGAACCGAGGCCTTTGATTAGCGCGAATAAATTCGCCTAGTGGAAAACCGGCTTTACTGCAAAAACATTATTGATACTATAGAGGCAGCGCTGCTAAAGTAATATTAATCATGTTGTATGTTTAGAATAATGAAAATGTGAACAGTAGATTTTTATAAACAATGTATTATACCGGTATTAAATTATTGTTCACACCTAATAGAATAATGCTTTCTCTCTCAAGATTTAAATTAAAGTAGTCATGTATAAATTGGTTATGCTTATAATTAACATAATATAAAATTATTATCTAAAGAATATGCCACTAATATCTAATTTAATTTTTGATTGAATTTAATTATATTTTACATTGACATTATTGCAGTTGGAAAGCCAATTCCTATTATGAAAGATACAAGTCCATCGAGCGAAAAGGTCGATCGAATTCACCAAGAATATATGGATGCCCTGGAAAGCCTCTTTGAGGAGCACAAGCTAAAGTTTGGGGTTGATGCGGCTAAACGGTTAACGTTTTTATAAAAAAAAAATAAAAGCTTCTGTTGTGTTTTTTTTAGCAACAACAATGCAATAGGTAATTGGTTTATGTTCCTTTTGTAAGAAATTGTTTAATTGTTCTAAATACAGTGTCTCAGTAAATGAAAACAAACATTGACAGAAAAATCTAATAAAAGAAATTGAATAATTAGCTTTATGCCTATTAGCGATATTTGTGTAATAAATGGAAGCTACGTCAGAGAATTTAATTTGTCATTAACTAGTTTGAGCATAATTTAGAAAACACATGTCTTGGAGCTGTTTTGTATTCATGTAAAATTAATATTAATACACCATATCATTAAATTCGAAATAAGTATTATTTTTTTAGTACCGTATTATTTTCAAAGAAACCAATCATAACATGGTACTATAGTAACCAATTATGAAATCAAAATTTGTTATTTTATCACAATTTATGCTTTTAGGTGACTAATCGTAAAAAAATAAAAATTACAAGCTGGCCAGACTCGGTAGGGTTTAAAGGTTAAATGTTAAAATTGATCAAATCGAACAAAGTAGTGATTATAAAAGCTTTAATTCGGTGCTTTATCAATTTGTTATGCTTTTTAATTTCAGTTGATCATAACTTTAAGTTTCAAAATTGCTTCAAAAACTGATAATATATGTTTGATCTGGCTGTCTTGCACAGCAAATTACTTTCATGTAGGTGATTTTGTTTTACAATGAGAGACGTTCTTTTGGAATGTTTAGGTAATGATAATTTTAAGTTTAATTTTGCACATAATTCTTCATGCAAAATATATAATATGTTTATGCCAAATGGAACGATAGTGTTGATCTCGTATCTGAAACTGAAAGGTAGGGTGCAATAAGAAGAAATACTATTAATGATGATTAGCAGTTATTAATATATAAAAGCTTGTAATTTATATAAAAAGCATAAATTAACAGTGCTCTCAAAAGTTTATAATTCTTTTATTTAAAGAATTGATGTTTGTAAATTTTTATCTGAATATGAAAATGGTGATGAATTTTGATAATATCGACAATGTTTTTTTATGAATGTCAAAGAATTGACTTGCTAGGAGATAATTGTTTTCTATTTCCAACATTAAGAAAGAGCTCCTACCATAGGACTGTCAATCACAACATTAGCTTCACTCATTATTAGGAGAATTCTTAATAATTCTAGATATTATTTCTGTACTATATTATACTATACTATTGCAATATCTATGTATTTAGATCTTTCTAATTTGTGCTTTTCATTTTTATGCTTTGCTACAATAGATTGTTTGGTAAAGAAGCGAACAATGTTAGGAATTCACCATAATACTAATAGTAGTCTTAATACTGTTGCATGTGTGCTTCAAATTATTACCCCATTCAATTAGTATTATATTTTCAGACATAATCCTGTTTGTATATTTCCTTAAAATCATAAATAACATTTATTTTACTATTATTTTTACTATTAATAAACAAGTTATAATAATTGATATAATTAGTTTGCCAGCTTTATCGGAGTAGACCACATCTTCACAAAAGTTCATGATGTGCGTTTGTGAGACAGGTTTATATAGGAAATGAACCAATATACCAAATAATGACTTACTGATTTTTTAACTACAGTTCCCTGATCCAATAAATCTGAATATGATTGTGACTGGTATAATAATCACCGTCTGTGTACATTATTATTGCTAGGGATAGCTTGCCTATGATTACACGAAGAATAGCGCTTCCCTGGATGACATTATATATCGTCAGGGTGCAGCTGCTATAGGCCGGCGTTCTTAGAAGGATATACGAGATTACAAGTTTTGTCGAGTCTAAATGGTTCTTATTTGTATTTTGACGTTAAATTATTCTTTGCATACCACAGTTATATAATTATATAATGCACTGCATTGCTCATGAACTGAAACTACTCCGATAGGCGCAAAATGGAATGCTATCAATAAATGTTATAGGAAAATGGCCCGTCTGTAGTAATGTCTATAAAGTGTACCGTCTTACATATATATCATAAACATACGGTATAATGCCCATTACATGTTTTTGATATACACGCCCACTTCTAAGATAACCCCTCCAGAGGTCACATGATTCCTAGGCTGACAGTTCATGTTACGACAGCACTGGGTAACCGTTACACATGTATGCTACAAAAGATGGCTTCTAAGGAGAAACAAGATGAGACCATAAAAACGGATAACAGGTAAGTGAAGTGTACCGTTTTTGTATTTTGGATAGTATTGAATTGAACCGGTGACCTAGATTAGTTAAAGATCTCCAAGTTTCAGCACACACACAGTAACTACCACCAGTTGAGCCGACTGCTTCCATATACTGTAGTATAATATCGTTATATTAAAGGAATGTAAATGCCAATTTTGGGTAATAGATTTAGAATGTTAATTTATTCTATTCTCATCCAACAATATCGCAACTTAGTACACGATGTAATTGTAGCTCTGTATAATATTATGTTATACTCAAAAGAACAAAAAAAAAAATGGTGCAGGATGTGACCCCAGGACCCTGGCATTGTAAGACAGGCATCCAACAACACAACAAATTCAACCACTGTAACTACATGTTGGATAGGCCTAGTTGTAATATAGTCGTACATGGAGAACCGGTGTGTTTTTGTTTGCAGAAATGTATATTAGTTGCCTTGTCAATTACAATTCAATTACCCTTCGCTTGATTGTTTTTATCATCATTGCAACCAATGCAAGGTTACAGTGCGTATACTGTTTGCGTGATAACCCTTTCTATTTATGTTAACCCACGGCTTAGTTGGGTTGGCCCAGGGAGCAGTCTCTATGTCTCTTTATCTCTCTGGGTTGGGCCAATGATGTTCAACTTGATTAACTTTCACAGTGTCATGAAATACAGTATTATGTATTTCTAAACTGGTATTATCAACATACATAACAATTAAATGCAAATTGACAACAAACATAAATTGCACAAATACATTGAACAGCATCCAAAAAATAATTTGTTGGTGTAATTCATGTTAAGGTAAAAAACAACACTTACGGTACATGTTTAGCGATTGAAAATTATTTTGTATTAAAAATGTTATGGATGTTGTACCATAACTAATACTTTTATGGCTGTATATGTATTATAATTCATTCTAATATATCATTCATGTTAAGAGAAATTATAAGGTAATGCGCACTCATAAAATATGATTACTGTGAGCTATTGCAAAACAATTTTACATTGCAGTACATGCTTTATCATTTAAATACTAGGCCTATGCAAAGACCATGTGATTGTGTTTACATGATTGTTTTGAACTCAAAGGTACAAGGTTAAACTGATTGGACTGGCCCTTCCTGTAACATTAACTGTTTGTATAACCAGGGAACATTGAAGTTCCTGGTATAGACTAACAAAGGTTTAAGGTTAAGTACACTATAGAGCTACCCTTTGATTGTATCTGCATAATATAGTAGGCCTGTTTTCCACAGCCAAATTCTTTCGCACGAATCGAAAGCGAATTCACATTTCTATAGGAGTTTTTTTATATTTTTTGCAGAGCGAAAAAAATGGACAACCAATTATAAGAGCTCAGGAAGGAAACCGACTATTTCAATTCGCGCGAATAAATTCGCCTATTGGAGCTTAAAGATTGAATTATTGTACATTGGTTTTCCATTAATATTGCACAAGACAGTAATTTGATAAATTGCAATTATATATAAAAAAAAACAATCATATATTATGGATAGATTTAATATACGGAATACCAAGGTATAATAAACAAAAAACAACCAATTTATATTGGTTTGTGTAACCATATATGACGTTTGATTTCAAGCATTTATAAGGGCCATTTAATATACTGTATATTTAACCTTTAAAGGAGTATAGTGTTGATTGAATTTAATTTCGTTTTTGTGTTCTTTTTCACAGTCAGAAAGCGTTTGCTCCACTAAATATTCCTCTACACCGGCGCATTGAGACTTTAGTTGTAGCTATATACTGCGTAATTTTCCTGTTCAGTGGCTTCACTTGTCTTTTTATATCCATCTATTTGTGGTGGACCTCTTATTTCTGGGTATCCGCTCTCTACTATACATGGATGTACTATGACTGGAGGTCTTCAACAGAGGGTGGCAGGAGATGGGAGTTCGCAATGAAATGGCCTGCGTGGCGCTACATGGCGGATTTTTATCCAACAAAACTGCACAAGACGGCCGATTTGGACCCTTCAGAAAATTACTTGATGGGGTACCACCCTCATGGTGTGATGAGTCATGGTGCCTGGATCAATTTTGCCACTGAAGGGACAAACTTCAGTGAAGTTTTTCCCGGTATCAGGCGTACGTTGCTGACGTTGAAGGGACATTTTATATTTCCTGTTTTGCGAGAAATATTGCTAATGTTTGGTGAGACATAATAATTAAAATACTTTAGTATCTTCAACGAATTATATTGAATTATTAACCGTCACTTACCATTTGTTTGAGATAGATTAGACATTTTTTTTTTAGTAATGTTAATTTGTGTTTGGATCACGAGAAATCACAAAGCATGCGCTATAATTTATAATTTATTTATTTATTTTGTTTAAATGCTGCACCTAACAACTTAACGTGTTCATATTTTAAATATGTCTATCATTTTTATCATTTTTAAAATAATCTATCTTTTATTTTATCTCACATTTTCAGGGCCTGTCTCATCCGATCCAATCCAAACTTCTCCAATACCAATTTAACCATCAAAGTCCAAACCTACTCTATGCTCAATCTCATTATACTTATTTATATCTTTACTCATTTTTCTTATATTTATGTCAATTATTTATAGCGTTAGGCGATGTCACTCGTGAAAGTCTAGACTACATACTGGGAAAATCAGGTAAAGGTAACGCAGCAGTCATTGTAATTGGTGGCGCTATTGAATCACTTGAGGCTCGTCCGAATTCTCACAGCCTGTACTTGGAAAGACGTAAGGGATTCGTGAAAAAAGCTATTGAACACGGGTGAGCGGAAATAAATTTTACGATAATAATATAATAACTATAATAATTATAATAACCAAACATAGTGATTTAGAACTGATACTTTGGATATTAGTACCATGGTAAAGTAAACACTTACTTAGAAGAACCTGTGGATTAATCCTGCTGACTGGAATTGGAAATTAGACTCGCATTATAAACAGAGACAACAGTCATTATTTGTCAAATATTATAGTTTTCCTCAATATTAGTAGCTCTGTGATTTGTATTTGCAACTCGCTAGACTATCACCATCTTCTATTGACTTTCTCATTCTAATGACAGTATGTTCCTTCGTTCATGTGTTTAGTTTCTCTAATAGGCCTACACAGTTCATTTGTAGTAAGGACGGGAGCAAATCACTATTTAAGAAAAAGTAGTATCTGCAGTAACACCATAAATAGCGAACGTGATGAAGCCAAATTAGTTTGTTGAAACGTTTAATAACAAACAGTAAATGATTAATTAATCTATAAGAGAGGAATTTACAATGCATCTTTGATATTTTGAATGTTTGCAGGGCTAATCTTGTTCCCATCTACTCTTTCGGAGAAACCGACATTTATGATCAAGTTGAAAATCCAGAAGGGTCATTTTTAAGAAAGTTACAGCGCTTCCTAACAACAATCATGGGATTTGCGCCACCAATATTCCACGGAAGAGGAATCTTTAACTATATCTTTGGCATAGTTCCTTACAGAAGACCTATTAATACTGTTGGTATGTGTTTTATGTGTTAAAATTCCGGCTTTTATAGTTCACGGCACAAATTTTGAGCGCACTAGTTTTCTGCCTTTAGCTTCAAATTTAATGAACCGTAAACATATTTTAAAGTTTCTTCTAAGGCTCAGCAAAGCACGTATTTTTTTCCCTATTTTAAGTGGTCCAATAGGTCCATTCACTTTCTCATTCACTAAGTTATGTATTGTTTGCACTTAGTATAGAGTACAATCAACTAATACCGGGCGCATGTGTAAAGGACGTTACGTGCCCTATGATCATAAAACTTACTGTACTTATATTTTAAAAGGGGCATTAAAGGAAATTATTTTAGGTCCCCTTAATACTGAATAACTTTGGGTATTATGAGTTCCTTATTAAAATGTTTTATGTATGATTGTAATGCTAGAAAATATTTTTAAACGCTAAAAACATCGAATGTTGGCTAAAAAATATTGTACTTAAATAAGCCTATAAAGCGGGCTCATGTGTATGTAAATTAGACTACTACACTACAACAGCCAATCAGTAATTTAAGAGCTGCATTACCGAAAATATGCAAAAAATAATACAGAATTTATAATGACACCAATATGTCATAAAGTGAAACTGGCTATTAGAGTTACCCTTGGAGGTAGTTGCGGTGGAAGGGCCGGCTACTTTTATAGAAAAAAATATTTAACGGACATCATAAATTAAGTCTTATACAAATTTATTGTTTTTGTCTTGCAGTTGGAAAACCGATTCCAGTTAAACAAATATCTAAACCAACAGAAGCAGATATCAAGGCCGTACATGATAAGTACAAGATTGAGCTTGAGAAACTATTTAATGACCACAAAACAAAATATGGCATCTCAAGTGAAACAAAACTGAAAATTAAGTAGTTCCAGTGAATTCTACAATGTACTTTGATATGTATAATGCACTTCTTTGACTAGTACTTATATTCGGTAACCTTTGCCACTTTACAAACGTGCCTGTAAACCTGTTAATTATTATTATTATTATTATTATTATTATTAATATTATTATTATTATTATTATTATATATTATTTTATTATTATTACTGTACTATTATTATTATTATTACTATTATTATAATTTTTATTATTATTGTTATTATTATTTATTATTATTATTATTATTATTATTATTATTATTACTATAATTATTATTATTAGTATTAATGCACTAATATTTCTAAATTCCTAAAAGTATGCCTAGCCTTTTCAGTTAATGCTAATGGCATGCATTTTCGCAAAACTTATTGCAGCAGTCGTTCTAGATACTGTCCATTTGATTGCCTTATTCCTGGTTCGTATATTTATTGAATCCTGTAAACTTTCAATAAATCGGCATGACTACAATTCAGAACAAGATTCAAGATTCAAGAAACTTTATTTGTCCATATAAAAATACAGAAAATTGTATAGCTTGGCAGATGACAAAAAAATAAAATAAATAAACTGCCAAGCGAGTCGCCACGGAGCAGCGCCACCACTCGTAAACACAATCATGATTCTGCTCTCTATATGCAGTACATTTTTCCAGGACGTGTCTAATTTCCATCATTAGGTCTAGATAGAGAAAAATGTGCAGTTAATATATCAGAGCTGATATATAATATAAAAATATTGCACTGGCTGCAAAGCTTATTTTTGTATTTAGTACCACAAAAATTGGCCCATTCTTTAGTATTAAAGAAGTTATAACCAACTACGATCCTATGTTACATGTAATGGATATTGAGCTTAATCACACAGATCTATGAAAATAGAAGGATAGATACTCGAGTGTACTGAAACATGTCAATGAAAACAGTAATGTAAAATGTTGTCGAATAGAAATTGCTTCAATTGTGCAAAATTGAAAATTATGGAAATATAATTTAGGCTCTATTAAATGTAAAAGTGTAGATCGAATAAGAAATAAAGCGTTTCAAAACGTTTTAAAAAATTGTCAGCTCTTTGTTTAATGTTGCAAGTAATCGTTAATTCATTTAAACATCCACCACAAACAAAAACAAGGGGTTATGACTTGTATAGAAGTAGACGAAAACGTAATATTAGAAAAAGTGTACACTGTACATTAGCTGGAGTGCTATCCCAAACGAAGTCACAGCAAAGATATGTTCATGGATGATTCTACATTGTCAAGTCGGGTTTGAATAAAGAACTGGTCTGGCCACCACAAGTTAGCCCAAATAGGCCTAAATCTTACGAGGATTCTAAGATATATAAAGAGTGACAAAATGAGCTTTGAATAAGTTTAGACAAAGGTAAACTGATATACCATATATATATATACTTTATACAATTTTAACTCAAATGATAAATAATTGATATGTTAAATGTATGCGTGCATAATAATTAACTGCAATATATATATATATATATATATATATATATATATAATAATAAAAATAATAAAAATAAAAATAATAAAAATAAAATTAATAATAATAATAAGGCTCTTATATCAAATACAAACAACAAGAAAAGGTTGAGCGTGTGTGTATGTTTATTTTAGGTATGTAAGAATTGCGTTTGCTGAGAGGGGTTAATTCTTATTTTTTTAAGTTAATGTTAAGCGCATATAAGATCCGGAATTTTGCGCTATGGAAAGTGTAACATTATTACTTAAATCAATTGTGATTTAGTCTATAAAGTTCAATAACTAATTTAGGCCCCGTCTCTCCTGTTGTTCGAAGTCCATGGTATGGTGTCCTTTTATCATAATATCGTCCTAACATATGGTTATTCAGATTGATAACGATAGCCCCCGCACTTTGAAATAGTGATTTGATAAATAAGTTACCTTACATTTTGTTGGCGTGATGCTGGGTGTAGAACAGGTGTTTAGATAGTTACCGGTATACTGTGCTGCGCTCATTTTAGGTTCCACTTCTTCGATACTTACGGTAGTATTGGTAAGTTCAATTTATAGGCTATACCACCTCCCTAGTGTACGGTACTTACTTACCTACATTCATTAAAGTTTATGAAAGCAGAGGTTGTCTAATTTCATGTTTTATTTAATTGTTTAATAGTAATTTAACATAGCAGTGATTTGTGTAGTGTCGGTATACAAAGTGTGGAACTCGTAACATTCTTTGACTTAGACAGAACCTATGCCAAAACGACTTCATTGTTGTTTCTGACTTGTTTGTTCAAAGTGATAGCACCTATCTGACAACCTGCGTTCAGGGCGCTCTTGGTAGCGAAATGGCGAAGTCACGAGCATGCTACCTGAAGGGTTGGTTTTATTTTCTGGATGTTGTTTCGTCAGAAGATTTAAAAAAAAATCTCCAGGCATCCCTCATCATTATTGACCATGGATTTTAGCTTGCTAAAATAATACCAACAATAATGTATGAGGTATTTAACTGTTGGTAATGAAACTATTGCCGGCAGACCGACTGCTTTTTGTTGGCAACACAGGAATTTTATTAGCCTAATACTCAACTAAACAACGCAAAATTGAAATGAAATCTTTAAAACAAAATTGAAAAGATAGGGGTAGGATAACCCATAAAAGTAAAACTAATTTTCGAAGAGTTTAATTAGGTCATCGAAACATCAAGTTTAAATATAATAGAAGACCTTCCTATGCACATTATGTTTCTGCTTATCTAAGTTGATAATAGTTGAGTCTTTATATTACCAAAGCATTTCGAGGCGACGAAAGGAATACTAATATAAACTTTATTCAAAATCTGATGTATTGTTTAATACAACGCAAAAATAATCCTACATTAATATCTTATGAAGATATTGCATAATTTGTGTACTTATTAGTTTTCAAATAGTTTACTCAATGATTGCGAAATGTGTTTTATTTTTATCTAAATTAATTTTTTAAAAATTAATTATTTATTTTATTTATTCTAAGTTCCAGTCAAAATGAAGTTACTGGGGATAGAGTTAGCACCGCTTGCCATACCATTCCGTCGCCGGCTCCAAACGTTCTGTGTATTCCAATGGTTCATGTCATTCCTATTTTTAGGATTCGGAATGCTCTTTCTTACCTTCTATATTGTATTATACACAAACTACTACTGGATACCAATTTTACTGTACTCTTGGACATGGTACGACCGTGCAACACCCCAACGAGGCGGCCGTCGTTCAGAATTTGTCAGAAACTTATCAATATGGAAAGGCTTAGCTGATTTTTTCCCGATGAAACTACACAAAGTCGTAGATCTGGATCCCTCAAAGAACTATGTTTGTGGATTTCATCCGCATGGTGTTTTTGCAGTTGGTGCATTCGCAAACTTTGCTTCAGAGGGAACCGGATTTTCGAAACTGTTTCCAGGTCTTAAATCAACATTGTTGACACTGCGAGGTCAATTTTTCTTTCCTGTATACAGAGATTACATAATGTTATCAGGTAATGTACACCTAAATGTATATAAACCTGGAATCTACACTATTATCAGACAGAAAATTAAAATACAACACAATTACACCAAAATACTTTAAATATGAAAATTAACAAACAAATATTGAACAGAAAATCCAACCAATTGATGGCGAGAAGTAAAAATAATTTTTGAAAGTACACTTCAGTTGACATCTGAATAAGGGTATGTTTGAAATATTGGTTTTACTAGGCCTATCTAGTTTCATTGCGATTACAATCCTTAAAAGAGCTCTAAACAGCGACAAAACATGAGAAAGTAATGGATTCCATTAGTTTATCTATCAAGGTGTTCTTAAATCTCAAAATATGAGAAATTAGATTAGAAGAACGTCACAGATGTTCAGTAAATCCCCCATGAGTAAATCAAAGCTCCACACAATCTTTGTCCCTCTTTTGGTTACACGCTTAAAATGTTAAACGTGTTTAGGCATAGCCGAATGTGCTTCGCATTAAATTAGGTATTAGTTAACACCATGATTATCAAGTACCTACTTAATCTTTTATAATTGAAAATTAATCATTTTCTTTTTAAGGTGTATGTGATGCTAGTAGGGAGAGTGTTGACTATCTTCTTAAAGAAAATGGCACAGGAAACATGGTTGTGATAGTGATAGGTGGCGCTATAGAAGTATTGGAGGCGCATCCTGGTATTTACAATATTTACTTGAAGAAAAGGAAGGGTTTTGTCAAGAAAGCAATAGAAACTGGGTATGACTGAAAAAAATAATCCACAAAGTGCGGATTATCAACTTTCCTTTGACAAAAAAAACCTGTTATATGCCCATATATAATATATACGAGACTGTCGACGTCCGTGGACCTGTTCTGTGAAAGGACGACCGCGGTAGATTCTAAGGCGCAGCAGATGGAGAAAGTTTCCTTGTTTCCCGAGGTGCAGATACCGA